GACTCCATCAACTTTCAGCTGTGGAAATTGCCAGAGCCTCCATTTCCCCATCTAAGTCACAGAAAAATACCAACACTTATCTTATTGGGTTACTGGGAGGGTTCAATAGTAAAAGTAATTGCTTTTTCTAATTAAAAAACAATAAGCCTTCATATTATAAATTTATAAAATAACAAAATACGCCGAGGAAATGGATAAGCACTAGTAACTCCACCACCTACAGATCATCAATATATGTATATTCTGTCATGTTCCAGTCATTATTTTCAAGAAGTTAGACACAGGGTCTAGCAGGTAGCATGATGGTTGAGGCACTAGACTCAACACATGGCCAAGCACAGTTCAAGTCCCAGACCTGACAGCCTGTTTAAATCACAACAAATAAATGTAAAAATAAAAAAAATTTTAAAAAGGTTGAACACGTTACATATCCTGGTATTTCATTTTTAAATAAGTAATTAATTTTATTGTGAAACGCCAAGCATAAAACCTGGAATATAATATACACTCAATAAATGCTAGCTATGAACATTAAGCTCAGAATTACCTCCTCCAAGTGTTTGAAAACTATTTTCATCTAAAATTGTTTTCTTTTCCTTTTCTTTACATTTAATATTTTAATATGCCTAGAATTGATGCAGTGTATGTGGGGGAGGGGAGTATATTCATTCAATAAGTACCTATCAAGTACCTAACTACAGTCCATGTTCTAAGCACTAGCATAGAGTAGTGAACAAAATAGACAAAAAATCCTCACATTCGCAGAGCATTCTAGTTAAACAACATAATAAGAAAAGACATAGATGGAAGAAGCAGTAAGGAATTAGGAAAGAAAATAAAAGGAAGCAGAAGAAGATGAAATAGCTAGCTGGCAAGTAAGTGGCAGCTTAAGGGTTGGGAGAACTGGAGCAAGGGAAACGGAGCCTTAATTATCATTCAAAATCCCCGATCCTCTCCCACCTGCCCTCCTCATCCTCTATCTGCTGCTTTACCTTCCTGGAACCACAGAAGAAAATGAAGAGGCAAAGAAAAAGGTAAAATTCTGATGTTGTAAATTATATAACAACATGCGATTGTCCCTCTTCCTGGAAGTCTTTACATTTGTTCAGAAATTTTCAGCCAACGGGACCAGCGGGTGGCATGGTGGTTAAGGCGCTGGACACTCCCACATGGCCGACCACGGTTCAAGTCCTGGACCTGGTGGCTTGCTTTCTCACTTGCCCTCTCTCTCTGTGTCTCTCTCTGGTCAAATTAAAATAAATGGATGAATAAATAAAATTAAATAAATAATTTTTTTTAATTTAAAAAAAAAAGAAGTTTTTAGCCAAACAGAGGAGACTCTTTCACACTGTCC